ATAAAAACCTTTGTCACCCTTTTTAATATGCATATCACGCTACTGTCATGTCTTTAATTCTTATGTTTTTACCCGCATTATCGCGAGGAATTTTAAGGCCCCTATACAGCCACGCAACATATCATTGTCCACATCTCTATACTCATAGAAATGGCGCTCTTTGGCCATCAATCGGCCCTTGCGCCATAAAACGCCGCAAATCATCATCATCATCTGCTAGGCCAGAAAATCGTCTTTATTATCTATCGATTTCAAGCTTTCACGGAGATGAAACGAGTCTCTTTTTTTTTCGTCCTTTTCACACGTGTGGTAACGTCTCTCGACTTCAAGACTCGTATACACGTCCCTTGCTTTGTTTGCTCACTCAAACAAAGCTCGACGAAATATTTGCACCGTGTTTTGTGAAAAGCATTAGCACTGAAACACCTCCTGACGAGTCTCCCTCGTTTTACGTAGACATATATCTAAACGCAAGCGTGTGCCCGTTCTCGCATTGCGGCTTTATAAATATTGCTGCGGTGCACGGAACGTGCGAAATTCTGGTGACAATTTCATTTGATTACTGCTGTTCTATATTTCTGCACAATTCCTTCGCACGCGCAAAAGTCGCTCCTGTGTCTTGTAATTAGAATATTGTAAGAAAGGCAATCTTTTGCGTCTAGGTACAAAGCACCCTTACGTACATCGCTGTATCGTGTTCGATTACACTGGATTAGTTGAGTAGCAGCTCAGCTTCATTAAAATGTAAGATAACTGGTTGCGTTAAACAGGAGAAGACATTTGAGGCACATTTTCAAACATTGCAGGCATCGATTTATGCGTGGTTTCATTGATGTTTTTTGATTGTTTTTTACAAGTACTTGGCGAGATAGTGCATGGATTTTATTGCTTAAGGCAATCGAGCAATTTCTTTTTTATTCACAGTCGTTTATGAAAGGCGAGTTTTTGGCTTTCCACAGCACACCAAGACGTCTATTACAACGTTCGCGGAATCCCGTAAGCGCTGTAGCAGACGCTCGCGGAACTGAAACTTAGATGCAGCAAATTAGTGGCTATCATCGTATACTCTCCACGCTAGACGCTTTGCGTGCTACATAGATATTATCGGCACACACTTCCTTCTTTCCTTGATGTTTAATTATATATCGTGTATCCTCCTCGTTTTCTTAAGTGCTGAATAATTTAAATTCGTACCCGCGCTATAGTAACCCTTCAGATAAGAGAATTCTTGGCTAAGGAAATGCATAGCCAAGAGAAGGCTTTGCAAATTCGGCCCCGTGTGTTTTATTTGGAGATTTTATAGCTCAAAGTTCATTATGGTGTGATACGAGATGTGATGCGAGAGGTCGCGCTATAGAAAAATTTCTTCTCCCATCTGGAACATGTCTGTTCAATAAGGCAGAGCCAGCATATTACGGTACCACACACAATACATATTTATGCATAGATTTAGCCATTGTACACCATCACTGCTGCCTTGCCTAGATTGAAAAGTTATTAATAATCGACATGAAAGTGACCATTTTCCCACTCTTCTAGAAACTAACAACGAGATGACCGACCATCTTTCTCCTTGAAATGAAATTTTCGTGAAGAAAACTGGGTGGTATTTAGAGAGCTCAGTACACTATGCTTCGAGAAGGTGGAGCATCTGAACGTAAACGAGATGGCCAACTATATTTCCGAATATGTCCTTATTTGTGAAAAAAAAGTGCATACCGCAGTCCAGAAATAATAAGGTAAACGCAAAGCCATGGTGGAATCGAAAGGGTTAAATGGCCAAAAACAGCAAAACAAAACATGGAGGACTTTTTCTCTCTACCCAACAATAGAAAACTTGATAAGCTTCGAAATTTGCAAAGCGAATTGCAGGCATACTCGCCGTTATAGCCAAACGGGAAAGCTGGACACACTACATATCCTCAATAAACTCCTACACAGATGCCAGCAAGGTGTATAATAGGGCGCATAAACTTAAAGGACAAGGCCCAAATCCTCTCCCCTTTGGTGAATGACTGTGGTAATACAACAGAAGAACAGGCAAATGCTATTGGCAAACAGTTCGAGAAATCATCAAGCCCAGAAAAAATATACTGCTAAGTTCTTACGCCACAAAAGCATACCTGAAAGTGTACCTCTGCGCCCAAACAAGCCTGTCTCAAGGACACAACAAACCACTAACGCTACATGAATTGAAGCTTGCCCTTGGCTTCTATGAAAGTTCTGCCCCTGGCTCTGATACAATTATCTATGAAATGATTGGAAATCTTCCTGATGAAATCCTAAAAATCTTTTTAGCACTTTACAACAATATTTTCAATACTGGAAAAAAACCCTCTGCACGGAAAGAGGCAATAAGTCCTACCAATCCTTAAACAGGGCAAAGATCCTTCTTCAGTAAATAGTTACAGGCCTATTGCACTCACAAACTGCCTACTCACAGTGTTTTAAAAAATGAATAACCAAGGTCTCCAAGAAAGATAATAGTCTTTCTTGGATACCTTAAATGCCAAAATCTTGGTCTGTCTGTCTGTCTGTCTGTCTGTCTGTCTGTCTGTCTGTCTGTGTCTGTCCGCCCTTAATGGTGCCCTAAACGGCACCAAAGTGCCAAATGATACTGCAAACGGCCGACCCCATCCGGAGTGTCTACCAATAATGCTCGAAATTCAGCGTTCATACTTGTGTGACGGTCAATTAAAAAGCAATTATTGCGCATATGTGAGGTACCATAACAACACGTCAATATTCTGTATGTGTGTCTTACCTTTTTAAAAAAGCATACATAAGTAATTATAAGGACCGTAGCGTTTATCACGTTATGCTGACCAGGCAACGCTTGCACGAAAAGGCAAGCGTTACGAACTCTTTGCTAAGATGACACGGTGGCATCAAATGAACGTTTTGTTCACTCTCTCCAGACGCAAGACTATCGTCTTTCGATGACATTTGCAGTGTAACATGCAGATACGGGGTCTATTTTTTGTATTTCGCGGCATTTATAGTTAGCAGAAAAACAGTAATAATTACCAAATATAGAGTTTGAAACTACCTAATCAGACGGTTTGCAAACCGATATACATCTTTCGGGTTGATATTTTTACCCATTTCCGGTGCTTCAGGAGTTTGTTACGTAAAAGGGTCTTAATTAAAGGATTGATCAGAACTCAGACATTATAGTCTGATTCTCTCCAGACAACGGTCGGCAACATACCTTTGTCTATGTCGTAATTGCGCGTTTCGGCATAGTTTAAAACTCTGGATATTTTAAAACTCTAGCTAAAGGTAACTGGGGCCTCTTTATATTACCATTATCACAGAAATTGCGCCTTCTCTGTTTTATACCGCATAATTCTATCCTCCTCACTATCGCTCTTATAGTGCTGATTGGTCAGTTGGAAATGTCCACGGAAACTTCCCATGTTTATATACTTTATTGGTCCTAAGAATATTCAATTTATTCTGTACAAACACTTTCAAGCGTGTAATTAGTGCAAGCTAAATAATAGTTCAGCTATAACTCACAGTGACGCTTGAGATTTCCTGTGAATACGTCGAATGTTTCATAAAGATGCAGTGGAATAAGCTAATCGCATAATTTGTACATTACAGTGATCAGCGCAGTGTAGCAAAATTCGTTCTGTCATTTTGTGTGTTAGGAATATTTCTGTTATTAATTCTCATAGCTCTTGCAGGCACTGCAACGAATTCGCTAGCCTAGACCACGTGTTCTTGCGTAGTCCTTCTTTACGGGACACGAATCAGTCTATTAGAGACAAGCGACTATTCGCTATCACGAGCCCCGATGTCGGGGATCAACTTTGGGCTGTCCAGAGGGCCAACAATGTGGCGGTCAGGCTTGGCCTGACTGTCCCAAGGTGGCTGCGGCAGGCTGTGCGTTGGGTCGTGCACCTCAGGACTTGAAATAAAGTTTCTAATACATATGCCATTGGTTTATTTGTTGTCACGGTGGCCACAGGCTGCGGTGCTTTCGCAAGGAACTCGGCAAATTAGAAAATCAACCTCTGCCGGAAGAAAAAAATTTAAAATATTGATAGGATGAAACATCACAGAAAAAGGCCACGCAAGCGCTAGCGCGCTCTTTGCCATCGACCGGGCTTTCTGAACGGCTGTAGCCAGAACGCCCTTCCTGTGTGTCTTTTTGTTTTCTCCAGAGTGCACGTGCATTTTCTTTCTCTCTCTCTCTCAACACTCTCTCTTCTGCCTCTATTTCCCCGCCCCCTTTGCTGGGTAGTAAAACAGATGCCAATATCTGGTTTACCACCCAGCCTTTCTTTTCTCTCTCTCTCTCTCGCATACATTCGTTCGTAAATTACTATAGTGAAGTAAGAATAACAGCAGTTTTAAATTTTGTATGCCTGAATACAGAAAAGTAGATTCTTTTTAATGTGGGTTCTTTCGCTACTTAGCAATCAGCAAAAGAATAGCAGCATTCTGCAAGCGACATAAAGTAGTTTGGCTACCCAACAATACTGTCTGCCTAAAAAAAAGTAGCGTGGAAGTTTCAAACTATAATGTATATAGTGTTTCATACAGTTGTTTGCTGATACTCATTACATCAACACCGTTTGGACTGAACCCTTGGACAGTTTTACCAAGTAGCACAGAGACGCTAGTGCTACATACACATACACAGAACATCGGACATGCCTATCATAGGAAAATCTGCATACCTTAGCATTCTTTTGAAAATGACAACTCTCTTTAAATGGCAGTATGCAAGGTACCCAATGTCAAAAGGACCTTGACTGCTCAAAGAATTTGAAACTCAACACAATCAAACTCAACACACAAGTAGGGTGGTGAATGGGCGATATAGTGTAAATACCTGTTTAAGCATCTCAAAATTTTCCAAACACACGATTCAAAAATTTTATTTTGAGTATTACATCAAGCTAAGAAATCCTGTTGATTATCCATTGCTTAAATTGAGTTCAACTGAATCATGGAACGCCTTTCGCCACATCAGTCGTGCATTGCCAAGAAAGAACTGTCTTCTGTTAAGCCACGCTTCACACAGTCTCTTACTATTTCAGACACACAGTGAGACCTTTACACAACAACGTCCATGTTGCAACTCTACTCCGAAGGAGAGACATAACACGTCACTGAAGAAAGTACGCCAGTCTCTGTCTCGGGACTACTTCCAGGACCATCCAGTGAAGGACTTGGGGACAGAGTGGTACAATGTCCCAGGACCTAGGCGTCAGATGTTTGGCAAATGATCGAACTTGCGCGAAGATGACTGCTGCGACTGTTGGCCCTGCAGTGGTTGCGAATGTCGGGAGTGCAAGTGGGAAGCCCGGATGTCTGGCGTCGGGTACCCACTTCCGGAGTGCCCAGGAAGGTGTGGAAACAAGGACTGGTGCTGAGTGCCGTTCTGCATAGAACAGCATTTTTCAGAGAATAACTTGCACCAATGCCAATAAACAGAAAGTGGTCACGGGTATTGTTAAGGGGCCAGCAAAAAAGAGCATTACGCTAATTAAATAGCAGCTGTTCAGGTGAATGTTCAGTATAGGATATAAGCCCCATGAAAAAAGGTGGAGTGCAAGTCCAAGTAAAAATGTAAGATAGTCATGAGCTAGATGTTCTGTGGCAGTCGACGGGGACAATTGTGGTCAAACGTCACTTGCAGGATAACATTAAATTTTTCGAGCATTCAATAACACAGAATTCTAGAAACATTTCCGAAAAATAAACAGTGGATTTAATAGTGGGTGCCAAGTCACCCAGCTGAATTGTTATGCAGCATTTTCTAACTGTGCACTGCAGAAAGCACCTGACAACATAACAAAGAAGGCAAATAAAATATTAAGCGAGCTTGGGAAACGGAGCTATTGTTTAAGAAAACTTCCCAACTTTGGTAATAAACTAGAATAGCACCACTTACCTAATACCCTAAGTGCATCCTAAAACTAACACAGAACTCTTCACAGAATGCCTTATCGACGAGTTTTTGTTGCGCGCCAAGGTGGACTTGAATATCATTGCCCAGTAATAGCCGCTAGTCTATCACATTCACAAATACTGAAGGAGATTTAGTACGGTTCGACATCTCGATAACTTATTGAAAAAGAGTGTAAGACGAAATACAGCGAGATGTGCATTATACCGGTCACTTCATACACAAAGTTCCAATCACCATTGTGTATCTTTAACAAAGATCACTTTAACAAAGTTCAATATTCACAACATCTCCAGAATTAACGCTATATTATACAAACATCAAATGGCTTTTGTGGGTAGCCTGTTTACGATTGCCAAGAATTGTTGGTAGTAGATGGTAGGATATAAAAAATCTTTACGTGTGAACTCAAATATGTGTCTTCCTGAAGAAAAAGCAATGAATTTTCTCAGGACTGCTTCACGAGACCGCTTGGTATGGCGTAATAGGGCAAACGAAATCAGCTTAAAGCGTTATATCTGAAACCAAACTTGCCATAAATGTTTCCTGACTTCAACTTGACCCCTATTTTGCAATGTCAGGCTCCTCTGACTCACAGATCATCTTGTCTGTCGAGAAAGAAAGGATGAACGTCATGGCGTTTCTCAAGCTTGTGCTGGATCTCGAAACAGGTGGCGGTGGTCGATCAACAAACCTTCAACTTTCCCTACACCAGCTATTAAGGATTCGAGTAGATGACGCGCGTGAACCAGTGTTGCTGAATGGGCACCTCCATTTCATTCAAATTCAATTCCGAGGAATTTCAACTTGCCGTATTTCTATTATTTTCAATTTCTCCGAATGACAAAAAAACTTGGCTCATTCCCACTGCTGGAATAGCCAGGCAGGTCACTTCCATTCCTGCAACTACTCAACGTAGGCAAGGCGTATCTTGATAGCTTTATGGAGCTAAGAATGATCGTAACAACATGACAATGATGTCGTCAGATGCATTAGAACTGCAAAAGTTGGTGAGCTATCTGGTGCAGTAAAATTACACTACTAGCTCCCATAGGGAAGCTATTTCGCTAACTTTGGTATTTGCATGGTCAGCACAATCTTAAAAAATTAGTAAATAGCTGGCAACGAATGTATTTACTTCTTTGAAACGGAGATTAATACTTTTGCGTCATCTCTCTTTACTATATAGCCAGCAGCTTGTAAAGCATGAAAATTTGGCCGTGTGAACCAAAAATGCTTTCTTAGTCATTTTAACCAGGTAACTACTAAGCCACATATGCTAGCAGATCCCTCGTAAATAACACCGTAAACCTTGCAGAAATCGTGACACTCTTAAGAAAAATTTAGAACAATCCTAACTATGTCGATTACTTTGGAATAAGAATTTCGTGCTAAGTCATGGTACACATATATAGAAGGGCAGATGATGATGTGTACAAAACGATCATTTTTTTCGCTAAGTTATGTTGCTGACCAGTCAGTACAGAGTGTGCTATTCCAAAGTAGGAGCAAAAATAGCCTTCAAATGACTGCTACAATATGCGATACTGGCTAAGTCTCGATATTCTTTGCAAGCGTTTGTGTATGTGACATCGTCTATGAGTCGTTCATGCCTATCAATATATGTTGCTGTGATGCGTACTTGTCATAGTAATGACATGAAGTAATTAGTGGCTCCTATTTATTCCATGTAGACAATGACACTTCACTCATTATCCTATACGTGTTTCTGTGATTGAATTATCTTGATGTCACAATGTACATTCACATAGAAACACCCGTTAACCGAAAACTGAGTATTGTATTAATTTACCAAGTCAGTTTTATTACGAATTACTGAGCAAACTAGCAAGTTTACTAATCAGCACTTCGCTATCTTCATTTACTAGAAATTCAGTGCTTTTTGTGGCTTTTTGTGACAAGTAAACAAACGGTTCACATTTAGTTAGTGAATAAGCAGGCCTTTTATAGTGAATGTTTAAACGAATGATGTGTTAATACTATTTGAGCCTAAATGCCTTTATATTAACACGACTACTTGGTGAAACCTCGCATAGTGATTCGAAAGGCACCGCCTTCGTTACGCGAGATCGCCTGCTTTTGCTGGCTACCCGAACAAATGCTCTCATACGTCTAGTCTGCGTCTCTCTGTTCGGCTCATCTTGTACAATACTTCATCGCACACAGTGGATTACACAGCACACAGTTCCTTTACAAATCATTGTGTACAAATATGTGCTGCGCTGACCTACACACCTTCGCGATAGAGGTTCAGGCAAAAGCCCGCCTGTGTGCAGGCAGGGGGGCCAGCATTTCGAAAAAAAAGGGAGGGGGGGGGGTAATATGTGGTGAGACTGCACGCAAGCTGGCATACGAATGCTTGTAGTAAACACAAGCATCACCACTTGAAAACATCACCGCTTGAAGAAGCACTTTTTCGAATATGCATTCGGAGTCCCCGATGGCGGCATAAGTACTAACAAGGAAGAATGGGCAGGTAGCAGGCTGCTGAGGCGCCAACGAGGGGGAAAAAGATCGCAAGTTGTAATGTTGGAATGCCGCCACCATGTAGTTCCGCTAGACGGATACCATGGCATTCAGCTGTGGTTACGCGAAGAATATAGAAAAGATTTGGAGCGACACAGTCATATAAGGACAGTATTATAGTACGTGCGTTGCTTATAAATGTACCATGCTTGTAATCAGCCGAGCCTTTTCAAGTTGCTGCTTCAATGGTAAGTTTGATGGTCTCACTAATGTTTGAAGTTTAAAAAGCAGCACGTCACCGAAAACGTAATATATTACCGACAAAATACGTTATTTCATTCTCCTTCTTTTCCTGTTTGCGAAAAAATCCTGTTTGCAAACTTTATCAACGTTACTGCTACTGAATCCCACCGTACTGTACACCCAGAGCCAAATTTTATGACGTACGTGCATAGTGCTGTAAAAGACACGCTGTTCCTGCCTCCGACTTCAGAAGATGAAATAACATCAATTTCAGGTTCCCTTGAAAATAACTCAGCAGCAGGAGATTATGGAATAAAAGTATGATCAGTTAAGGCTGTGGCACATGACACACCTTTAATCCACATTTTCAATGAAATGATATCATGCGGTATTTATCCTGATAGGCTAAAATTTGCTTGTGTCACCTTACTTCATAAAGGTGGCAAAATTATTGTGTTGGGTAATTATAGACCAATATCTGCGCTGTCACTATTTTCTGAAGTTGCTGAGAAAATACTGTGCCCACGATTTAAGAAATGTTCAATAGCAAATAATGTTATTGCACAGCAACACCTCAGATATCAAAAGGTTAAATCAACAGAAAAGGCACTAGTGCGAATTAACGATAAAATCACCCAAAGCATTGAAAAAACAATATTTAGAGTAGGTGTATATCTAGATTTCCAGAAAGCCTTTGACTCCAGCAAACATGAAATTTTATTTCATAAACTTGAAGACTATGGCTTTAGAGGCAAAGCTCAAAATCTCAGTCGTAGTTATCGGCAGAATCGTTTACAGAACATTTGTCTCTCGGACGCTAAATTTGAAAAGGCTGTATTCAAGTATGGGGTGCCTCAAGGCTCTGTACTAGGCCCTCTACTATTTATATATATATATGTAAACGACATCGTTACTATCCCTTTTACTGGCGAGGTCTTCATGTACGCCAACGACACCAGTGTTTTCTTTTCTGGGGCCGATTTGAAGGAGCTAGAGGCAACGTCAAACTGGTTGACTAAACTTAATCTTTGGGTATCTTCTAATCAATCAAAAATAAACGTTATAAAGGCAAAGTTCATGCTTTTATATCCTAAGAATAAATATATAGATTACAACATGAAACTGTATTATGGTGATACTTTGCTAGACCTCGAAGATGACCATTCATATTTAGGTGCTACATTTCAATTAAATACAAGCTGGTCCCAACACATGAACAGTGTAAGAATGAAAGTAGCAAAGTCGATTGTCATGTTGAACCGCTTACGTAACTTCTTAACCACCAAGATAAAGAAGGAATCGTATTGAGCTGTTATTGCTCGTTAGTATAGGTAACAGGAATTAAGACCGTTAATGAGAAACTTTCCACATTACAGAGGAAGGCATAAGACTACTTCACTCGGGATATAATACAGACTTATCAGAACTTATGTGAAAGTATCACACTGCGCAATTCTGCTTTATTGACAAGATGAAACTGTCTATGTTGATATAATAAGAATATCGGGAGACTGGGACTCATTCAGCCTTCACTACCTAAACAGAAACGGCGGTCATGACCTACGTAGAACATGCATGGTTCTTGAAAAAATGCATACTAATTATTGTATGCACGCAATTGAAGTCACGAAAATATTTAATGATCACCCTGAAGTAATTGAATTGGCACGATGGTGCACGGTCTCTAACAATTTTAAATTAAAAAGTTGGCCCTTGTTTAACATTTAGGATAAATTGATATCTTGTACACGGTTGATTCGACTGCAGTCTCCCGCATGATGTGTATGTATGTGTGTGCATGTATATATATATATATATATATATATATATATATATATATATATATATATATATATATGGGTGTGTACATGCATATATGTATTGTATATATTTGTCGGCGCATTCGCATGATTTTCTTATTATTCTTTGCTTTTTAACCTTCTTGTGCACAAATGTGGCAAGTGTTTGAAATAGTACTACTTGTTGTTCTAGGCATCTTCTAGTGCAGAGTTCTCTTGTCAAGCTATGGCTTCTTTTGCGTCTGTGAATAATTATTGTAACAACTTTTTTTTATTGTATGTGTAGTGTTCTTTTAAATTGTGAATGTCTATATAGGACTACCGCTGTTACGCCCAGCGTGAGCAGGACCTCGTTTGGAGGCAAACCACCTCCTTTTGCCCTGACCACAGTGTGCTGTCCACAGTGTGTTGACCACAATTGTGTTGTCCAAAAAGTGAAACAAAAAGTAAATAAAAAAAGTAGGTCCTGCTTAGTGTGTGAAAATGTATATATTGTTACGAGACAGCTCAGTAATACATACCCTAGACTTTTCTCTTCGTATTCGAACGTTGTCCTCGACATCCACTTCAGAGGCTTTGCAGTTGGCGAGGTACGGGTGCTTCAGCAGTTGCTCACACGTCCACCGTTTGGCAGGATCCTTGTCAAGGCATTTCTGCAAAGGCGACAACGCTTTTAATGTGAGCTTTGCAATATTTTCGTTTAGCAATCAACAAACAGTTCTAATAACAAGCTAGGGCATTTCTAGAATACTCATATTTGCTATCACAGCATTGCATTCTCACAATACATCCCTAAGCCAGAATGCACAAAATACTTCACTGGCTGAAACAGCCGTCAACATTCTGGCACTCCGTGCTATACTGATCCGCGCCACGTGATCAGACCTTTATATAATATTTACAATAACTGAAAAAAAAATCGACTGATTCCACACGACTTTGAAATGATGTTATGCGAATGGAATGATGTTATGCACATGGAAGGTGAAAGTGTTGTTTTCTTTTAGTGATCGAAACTTTACGAAGAGGTGGTAAACATATGCACAAATGCATGCACAGATCCACGTTGAACAGCTACATATACGTTTTATATAACTAGTTGTTTACAGTCGCGTAATAAATCCAAGGGCATTATGTATATTAGAAACACCAGAAGCGGCAAGCTGATATGACACGTTGGTGCGCGCAAAAATGGTGGTCCTGGACACTGCTACATAAATTAACTTCAGCATATGGTTATTAACTGCAACTGACACGATGGCTGTATTATACTACTACGTATATAATATTTATGCTTCACGAACACTACAGTCTATTTGGAAAATGGTTCCAAGACCTGGCGTCTAGAATACTAGATCGCCAAGCAGATTTTTTTTGTATTCCAATTCTCGCTGGTGCCCTGACATTTATATTTTTTTTGCATTCGACAGATCAACGCTGCCGGTCTCAGCTTTTTGTTTTAAAGCTCTTGCGTTGAGATTACCCATGTTTGGTCTCGCCATTCCTGGGAGGATATAAACTGTCAATCCCGTCATTTATCTTCGCCCGACAGACAGACAGACAGACAGACAGACAGACAGACAGACAGACAGATAGATAGATAAATAGACAGATAGATAGATAGATAGATAGATAGATGCTCATTGTAACTGTAGCAAACAAAGAAATGCTTCGTTTTTTTTAAAATACAACTGATTATACGAAAAATGAAGAGGGATCCCGGTGACACCTACCAAGCGGATGTGCGGTGGAAGGACCGTACAAGCCGGTTTCATCCCATTGTGTTCTGTAACAACTTCCATACCTCTCTTTTTCACTTTACTCTTTCCTAATTCTCTCTCTCCCCTTACCCCTTCCCTAGTGCAGGGTAGCCAATTAAATATTCGTCTTCCGGTTAACCTACCTGCATTTCCACATCGAATATCTCTCTGTCTTTAGCTAGGCGCCCTACTTGGTATTTCTAGAATAACAAACTTTTTGAACGCAAATAAATGACGCGAGACCAAGAAAGAAACACACACCGCAAGCGCACCACAAGCGCCCGATTGCGATGCAGCATAAGACCGAGCCGAGCGCTTGTGATGTGTGTTTCTGTTTCTTGGTGCCGTGTCGTTTATTTGTGCTCAAAGAAATTTACCATTGAGCATTACATGGACCGAACGCCGGTGTTGGTTGCTTTCCTATATACATGGACAAAATGCGCAGCATTGTGTCATGATGTGCGTGACATAAAGTGGACGTTAGGTGCAATCACTACGCATATTTACGTGTATTACTTTAGCATCGGTGCAACAGCGCTCAGCATAATCTGGCTGAACACGTAAGATAAGACACAATGCATGAAACACGTATAATAACTACGCCAAGACGCTTTAAAATGTTTTCGCTCGTTTATTTATGGGGTGACGAGGGCTTCGAGAGACGCCATAGTAAATGAATGTATAATTTACATCACTCAAAATTCCTGAACTTGTCTTAAAATCGCAATTATTGCACGCGCGCGCGCGTGAGCGTGCATGCGTACGTGTGTTTGTGTGTGCGCGCACATTTTCGCCCCCTATATATGGAAATAACCAGACAGAAAATTCGTGTACCCACATATGTTGGCGTAACTGCGAGTATAGCCGAGAGCAGTTACGCAGGAATGATTATGATGGACTACGATAAAAAGGGAAGTGAATCGAAGTGTGAAGCGATGTCCTCATAAATGGTTAGTACCCTATCCGCGTCATGCAGATGCCATAATGAAGGAGTTGTGCATTACAGATGCCAGCTGGAATAGATGCACTAAAGATTTTTTTTATTGCTCAATAGTTCACAATAATGCGTGGGTATAACGTTGTGTCGCTGTCGCGCACACGGAAATGGGTCGCAATCTATTGCGTCTTTGGGCATCTATTGAAGTAGTGCGGTTTGTTCAAGCAAAGTGCGCCACTTATAAACCTGTCTGATGTAGTTATACTAAATCGATAAATATAACACGGAAAGAATCTCTGACCAGACAAAAAAAGTGTCAGGCTTTTAGGAGGGGGGTGGAGGGAACCACTCAAGAAATTTGTACCGACTTGGGATCCAATGAAATAGTGTCGCCTCAGGTCCTCCAGTCTGCCAATGGGTGTGCCAATACGAATTCAAGGATATATGTAACTGAGTCTGTACTGACCGAGTTCATACTTTGGTGTAATGCATGAAGCCTGATCTTCCCCCTGGTGCAACTGGTGCGTCAGCTATAGTTCGTTTCTTTTAGAATTTCCATATGGCCGGGTACATGATTCAGTTTTACGTTAAAATTTTGCCTGTCAAGATAATGTGGTTGAGAAGCAGCCAAATTCTTTCGTCGTTACGAAAGAGATTTGGTAGTTTCAATAAAAGGGACGGACAGTCTGCGTTGGCATAGTTAGGGTATTTAAAAAACGAATTGGGAGTGCTTTTTCAAATGCAATTACTTCCGTGACGAATGCGCTTGAAGCGTTGCGTATCTGAAATTTCCTGACCGCTATAACGTTTTAGATTTGGTCAAAGCAATATATGCTTGTCCCTCCGCGTATGACCTGTATGAGCCGCCGGCGTATACGTGAAAGGCTTTTGTTCTAAAAAGAAGCGCTTCTTAAGATGGTGAAATTTTAGTGACACGAAATATTTTGTACCGGGGTGAGCAGCCCACGGACTGCATCTATATATAGAATGTCAGCCGGTTTGAAAGTTTTGGTGCCATAGTGAGTTATGTCCTGATGTGTGAATAGGGAAAATTTTATAGAGAGTCTGTCCAAGTAATGGAGGTGAGGTAGCAAGAACTTGCAGGGACGACGCACTTGTGGTGTATAAAAGCATTTGTCAAAATTTATAACAGTTAGTTGAAAAAATAAACCTCGCGCCCTAATGATTTTCAATGGGAACATTGGCCAGCATACTGGAGATGCATATATGAGAGACAACAGGATGACAAGGTGGCCGCAGGTCGTGGGTTCGTATCCCGGCTGCGGCGGCTGCATTTCCGATGGAGGCGGAAATGTTGTAGGCCCGTGTGCTAAGACTTGGGTGCTCGTTAAAGAACCCCAGGTGGTCGAAATTTCCAGAGCCCTTCACTACGGTGTCTCTCATAATCATATGGTGGTTTTTAGGATGTTAAACCTCACATATCAATCATCAAATCAGGATGACAAGGTGGTAGAAGTCGTCGAATGAGTGTATGTTTAGCGAAATGTGTGACTTAACGAATGCGAGAAGGCGAGATGTGGACATGGTGGCTTTTACTTTTATGTGATGAATTTGAGCATCAAAATTGAAAGAGGGGTCCAGTAATACGCCAGGAATCTTCATTTATTGTGCTTGAAGAAAACAACATTCATGCGTGTGTATGAGCGGCGTTTCGACGCTCGTTGTTGAAGAATACAAAGAAGGACTTCTCTGCGCTTCTATGCGCCGTAACACTTACTTTTCGTGCCTACCTGGATACGAAAGTCAGGACATGCTCAGTATTTCCTTGTAAAAGGAGTCTGAATCTATCTGTGATGACAATGATGGTGTTGTCCACATACGCATGAATCTGTGGAAAGATTGAGTGTGCTGTGTATTACTATGTTCCACAGTAGCGGGCTGATAGAGAATCTCTGAAGGCTGTCTGTGGTTGGGGGAACTGTCTCCTGTGCGACATTGGTAGAAACACTAGGAGTTCGGTCTTACAAAAAGAATTTCAGGAGGAAGTACACGTTTTGTAGACACCTGTCTTTACATAGAATGTATACAACCGCAGGGTGCCAAACGCTTTCAAATGCTCCTACAAAATCAAGAGATCTGAGCATGGTAGTTCTGATGCCTTTTTTTAACTGGTAATTTGGTTGGGAGTGCGTACATTGCTGACGTAAAACTTTTGGCATGCGCAAAACTATATTGATCATTGTTGAGCAGCTGATTAGTGTGCAAGAAATGATACAGACGAGCATTGACGAGTCTTTTTAACACCTTACCAAACAGAGAATTCATGGACATTGGTCTGTCTTTCGTAGGCGAATTGAAGGAACGACCTGAGTTCAATGAGAATATTACTTTTTATTTTTTCTTCAGGCTTGCGTGAAATGTCCAATTCTTAAGGTGTTATGAAATATAAGGGGAAAAATTTTGGGTTGATCCATCGTGTCCTGGAGCACAGTGGGAAATGCCCTGTTTCATCACACATTCTATCCTAGATTTGTATAAGGAGGTTCTGAAGAATTCCACGAATAAGAACTGGCCACATTGTCACTCATAATTGTGTGGTGCATGCTGTCCTGAAAATAGCTGTCTACTGCTACCAATGTATCCGGTAGGAGCCGGGCGGACTCCGTTACAAAAGTTGTGCTGGTGCCATTAGGCAAATCTGGAAGAGAAAGAGAAGTTGCTTGGTGGTGTTTTTGAAATGCTGCTTTGAAAACACCTCCATAAAAACATTTATTAGTGAGAAAGCCATAAGAGTCTTTATCAAAGGATGATTTTGCTTTCCTCATTTCATCCTGGTAGGTGGAGAATGCGTCAGCGCACAATTTGCGGCACATGTCTCGCAAGAAGAATCCTCACTGGGGAGGAATTTTTGACTTGCGCATTATACGACTCACATCCAACAGTATTTTTTTACTGAATTTTCAAGTTCACTTAGGGTAGCATTTCTTATATTTATAGCCATTTACGCTGTTCATATACATATTTCTCTCCGTTCGCCCGACCGGTGCATATATATGCTCCGTTACCACTAAAGTTGCATTGGGGCGCATCAGCCTCCTTGACGTTTTCTCTCCATTTCACGGGACCCTTCTTTGTTGTCGGGCGTGTAAACTAGTAGAGAAAAGCTATTGCACCCCTCTAAAGTCTACAGAGCAGCGCAGATTCTTGCCAATCTATGCCTTACTGCCCCTCCAGGTAAAGCCCTGGCAGCACGACGATAGCTATAGCGCGAAAACAGAACGACGACACAGAGACAAGAAGGACACAAGTGCCATCTTGTCTCTGTGTCGTTCTTCTGTTCTCGCGCTATAACTATCGTCATGTCATACAAACTAGCCCAAGCTGCCACACACCTGGCAGCAGTTGTTGTGCCCATCATTGTATAGGTGCGCCATCATCGAGGATTCGGGTGCCGCATCAGAATCGCAATTGTTTGTTTGTTGCTTATTTTGTCGAGACGCTTAGACGAAGGCAGTCAATAAACGTAAGCGCGTGCTACTTGCAAATCGTAGGGAGCAAATGGAACATATATACACCATTGAAGTGAAAGAAAGTCAACTTACACACTCCTGAAAGTACGATTTTCTGATATCATGAAGTCACTGCGTAGGAGTGTATGCGCCATACTTATTCAGAATAGTCAGCATTAAAAGTTTATTCTTACAGTGGGAGTGTGCGACCATTTACGCTTGCTAAAGAGCGGGTAGAGAACTATCAAAGTAAGTTTTGTGGCTTTTATACATGGCAGACACCTCTATTGTCAATCTGCGCTGCACGTTTGTTTCTACCTTATTTGGTAATATAGTTTATTTTATTTTTGCCACATTTTTCTTCGAGGTAGAGGCAGCATCACTTGAGCAGATAGCCTTTTTTTCCACTTTACGAGCTTTCACGTGTTTTACACTTGAGGTTTGGCTGGTGCTGCTTATGCGTTGGTAATGAAAACGAAAGCGCCAATGCGATTGTTCACTCTTAAGGACTGGTCTTGATTGATTGCAATATGAGGTTTAACGTCCTAAAACCACCATATGATTATAAGAGACGTCATTAAGGACTGGTCTACCCCAGCGTAGCTGTTTTTTGTTGTACACGTTATATACATAAACATCGAATGTAGAAATTATTTAATCCTTGCCTGCACGGGGTATCGACTTGTTTCTAACGGGCATAATTTTCAGCATTGATTTGAGAACGAGGTACTTGCGCTAAAGAGGCAAAAATTATCGCCATTTTGTGATCAGACGCTTTAAATATGTCCATTTTGTTGCTATTTGGGTGGTTCACGCATAAACTAAAGAGGCAAAAATTATCGCCATTTTGTGATCAGACGCTTTAAATCTGTCCATTTTGTTGCTATTTGGGTGGTTCACGCATAAACTACTTTCCTCGTTGCAATGTACGCCACGTATCCAATGATCTTGAATGAGGGACGGCATAGGGCAAAAGGACATGGACACCGGTACCTTGCCGTATTCTTCAAGCAATCATTCATGTGCACTTACCTTCAAAAAATCAATTCCGGATGTATCTATGGTAGCTGGTATTGCAGATTGTAGGGATTCCTGCAAGAATGAGAGAAAACACTGAATTAAGAAACACATCGTTATCATCTACCTGACTACATCCACTGCAGGACGAAGGCCTCTCCCATATTCCGCCAGTCAACTCAGTCCTGTGCTTGCTGCTGCCATTTTATACCCGCGGACTCCTTAAGCTCATCTGCCTACCCAACTTTGTGTCTTACCCTTAATGACCAGCAGTTATCCTGTGTACGCGCTACATGCCCAGCCCATCTCCATTTCCTCTTCTTTACTTCAACTATGATATCCTTAACCCCCGTTTGTCCCCTAATCCACTCTGCTCTCTTCTTGTCTCTTAAGGTTACACCTACCATTTTTCTTTCCATTGCTCGCTGCGTCGTCCTCAATTTAAGCTGAACCCTCTTAATGAGTCTCCAGGTTTCTGCTCCGTAGCTAAGTACTGGAATGATGCAGCTGTTATATACCTTCCTCTTGAGGGATAGTGGAAATTTACCTGTCATGATTTGAGAGTGCTTGCCATATTTGCCCCAATACTGTTCTTCTAGTTTCTTCAACCTCGTGGTTCGGCTCCGTGGCTTTTTTACAACTTCTAGTGCGCTATAGCCTATTTCGAAGAGCTGTTCTCTTCCGAGGTTATTGTACTTCATTTTCGTTTTTTTTTTTTGCAGAATACTTTCAAGACCTACCTTTCTGCTCTCCTTGTCTAGCTCCGTAATCATGAGTTGCAATTCGTTCCATAAGTTACTCAGCAATCCAACGTCATCGGCAAAGCGCAGATTACCAATGGGACTCTCCATTCATTAACTCTTATCCCTAACTCTTCTCATTCTAGGCTTGTGAAAACCTCCTGTAAGCACGCGGTAAACAGTATTGGGGAGATTGTATGCTCCTGCCTTACACACTTCGTGATTGGTATTTTGTTGCTTTATGAAGTACTATGGTAGAGGTTGATGCCCTGTAGATATCTGCCAGGGTGTTTACGTCGTCTACGCCTAGATTCCGCAGTGGCTGCATGACTGCTGATATTTCTAGTGAATCAAATGCCTTCTCGTAATTTATAATCGCTACATACAGTGGTTGGCTGTATTGCTGAGCACTTCACTATTACCGGATTGATAGTGTGAATGTGGTCGATTGTGGACTAGCCTGTTCGCAAACCTGCTTGTTCCTTTGGCTGATTGAATTCAATTGATGCCTTAATTCTGTTAGCAATTACCTTTATAAATAGCTTGTATACAATGTAGAGCAAGCTGATCGGCCTGTAATTCTTCAGGTCCTTGTCTTCTTCTTTCTTATGTATTGAAATATAGTTAGCATTATTCCAAGATTCTGGTACTCTTCCTATCAGCAGACACCTCGTAAACAGGGTGGCTAGTTTTAAATGCGCAGCATTTTTTAACGAACTTCGGCGACATTGGGTGTATCTATCTATCTATCTATCTATCTATCTATCTATCTATCTATCTATCTATCTATCTATCTATCTGTCTGTCTGTCTGTCTGTCTGTCTGTCTGTCCGTCCGTCCGTCCGTCCGTCCGTCTATCTATCTATCTATATATCTATCTATCTATCTATCTATCTATCTATCTGTCTGTCTATCTATCTATCTATCTATCTATCTATCTATCTGTCTGTCTGTCTGTCTGTCTGTGTCTGTCTATGTATCTGTCTACCTGTCTGTCTATCTATCTATCTATCTATCTATCTGTCTATCTATCTATCTGTCTGTCTATCTATCTATCCATCTATCTATCTATCTATCTGTCTGTCTGTCTGTCCGTCCGTCCGTCCGCCCGTCTGTCTATCTATCTATCTATCTATCTGTCCTGTCTATCTATCTATCTATCTATCTATCTGTCTGTCTGTCTGTGTCTGTCTATGTATCTGTCTACCTGTCTGTCTATCTATCTATCTATCTATCTGTCTATCTATCTATCTATCTATCTATCATCTATCTATCTAGCCGCATGCGACTATTAGCTCTCCTGGCCGTTTCGATTATGGTATCGATACCAAACTTGGTATGGTATAACATGACTGTATGAAGAACATATTCGACTAGTCATAACGTGAAAATCATGACATGTATGTGATGAATGTCATGATTTGCATTTCATGGTCCTGCAGCTCTTGCGGTGGTTCCGTGCACATGCCATGTTGCAAACCTAATGTGGTATGACATGATTTTATGGAGAACACAGGCGACAGACCCTAACATGAAAATCATGATATGCGTGTCAACAACATGGCTACGTTCCACGCTTATGATGCCCTCGCGGCCGTTCGCTAGCGTCACATATACCAATTTTGGTATTACGGTACGTGAATGGATGATATAGGTATGTGACGGGTGCAAACTTGATAATCATCAGATGCGTGTCATGTAATAACATGACTACATACCACGCTCATGATGTGCTGGTTGCCTTTTCGCTGGCTTCACTTCTACCAAATTCGGTATTACGGGACGTGAATAAATGACGAAGGTATGATACTAGTGCAAGCATGATAAACATGCGATGCGTGTCATGTAACAACATGACTGCATGTTATGCTCACGATGCGCTCGCGGCTGTTTCGGTAGCTTCACAAGTACGAAACTCGGTATTACGCGACGCCAATTGATGACGAAGGTATGTGACTGGTGCAAACATGATAATCCTGAAATGAATGTCATTTGAGAACATGACTACATGCCACAGTCAAGGCGCCAATACATTTCGACATGACGCGGTGCGTGTGCTAGACAGCGTTCATTTCGTCGCGTCACGGTGGTGTTGCCACGCCAAGCGCTTGTCTTGCCATATACTCGCAGGCGCGCGCCATGCTGCGTTGGTTTGTGGCATGCGCGTTCCAGCTAATTCGGCGTCCCTCCGTCACGAAAAGAGGGAGACGCAGTGTTATCTGGGTAACACATAGGCGCGAAATGCAGCATGTTGTATTTCGCCCCGGTTGCCGTCGGGCCGCGCCGACGGACGCTGGTCGCGCCTGGCGTCAAACAATAAAATGCTCGCGTTTTGCGAACGTTGCGTCGCTGTGCCCAGCGTGCGCGCGTGTCAACGCTACAATGGGGAGTATATTGGGCCCTTTACGATGCGCTCGCAGCCGTTTTGCTAGCTCCACATATACCAAATCAGGTGTTACGTGACGTCAATAAATGACGAAATATACGACAGGTGCAAACATAATATAATTCTGACACGCATGTCATGTAAGAACATGAAAGCATATCATGCTCATAGCATGCTCGCGGCCACATCGCTAGCCCCATATATACTAAAGTTGGTATCACACGACGTAAATAGATGACGAAGGTAAACGACACATCCAAACATAATAATCATGACACGGAAGTCATGTACGGCATCATTTACCTCCACTTCGTAACGTTGTGCTGATTTTAGAGTGACATATCAACATTTCTCATTCGTGCTTCGCATATCATCGATTCCCATTGTACGTAGGGTCTGCCCATTTTTGTTTAACACAATCTATCTTCCATCTTCGGCAGATCTGATGTTACCTGATCCTAACCGGTAGCTTTGCCTATTTTCATGCTCTCAAAGGTTTTTTAACTTCCATCACTACTGATAGGGTGCCATCTGGGTTACTTCTAGTTCTTATGGTAAGGTCGTGGTTGTCACGGCTACTATAGAGATTTCTTTAAAACTCCTCAACTATATGAACTATCCTATCCATATTGGTAGTTATTTTGCCTTTCTTGTCCCTTGGTGCATACATCTGATTTTTCCCTATATTAAGTTTCGTCTTCACTGCTTTGACGCTTCCTCCGTTCTTCAGAGCGTGTTAAATTCTCTCCATGCTTATAACTGCTTACATCGGATACCTTACGCTTATTAATCAACGTTGAAAGCTCGGCCAATTCTAATTTTTCTGTTGTACTTGAGGTTTTCATGCTTTGACGCTTCTTAATGAGGTTCTTCCTTTCCTGGGTCAGCTTTCCAAAGTTCTGTCTAACTACCTTACCTCCAACTTCCACTGCACCCTCTGTAATGATACTTGTCAGATTATCATTCATTGCGTCAACGCTAAGGCTGGGTTCCTCGATAAGAGCGGAGTACCTGTTATGAAGCGAGTCTCCTAATTCCTGGACTTTCCCTCTCAGAGCTAGCTCAATGATTGGCTTCTTGCGTATGAGTTTCTTTTGTTCCTTCTTCAAGTCTAGGTGAATTCGAGACCGTAGCATTCTATAGCCTCTGCAACGTACTTTGCCAAGCACTTCAACATCCTGCACGATGCCTGGGTGTGCACTCAGTATAAAGTCTATTTCGTTCTAACTTTCGCCATTAGAGCTCCTCCATATCCACTTACGGTTTCCTTGTTTTCGATAGAAGGTATTCTAGATCCATATGGTATTGCTTTCTGCAAATTCTACGAATAGCTCCCCTCTGGCATTTCTAGTGCCTATTTCGTAATCTACTGCCTGGTTTTCAGCCTTCTTCTTTCCTACATTGGCGTTGAAGTCTTCCATCAGTATAGTATACTGTGTTTTTACCTTACTCAGTGCCGATTTTACGACTTTATAGAAGCTTTCAACTGACGCGTCATCGGGGCTGGATGTAGGCGCGTAAGCCTTTACTACCTTCATCTTGTATTCTTTATTGAGCTCATATTATACCTACCATCCTTTCATTAATGCAGTAGTATTCCTCTATGTTTCCAGCTATGTTTCTGTGGATAGGGAACCCCACTCCCAGTTCTCATCTGTCAGCCGAGCCACGATAGCAAAGGACATGCCCATTTTGTAGCACTGTATAGGCCTCATCTGTCCTCCTAACCTCACTGAGCCCTATTATATCCCACTTAACGCCATCTAGCTCCTCTAACAGTACAGCTAGACTTCCCTCACTAGATAAGGTTCTAGCGTTACACCTTGCCAAGTTCAGGTTCCAATGGTGGCCTGTCCGGATCCAGAGATTCTTAGCACCCTCTGCTGCGTTGCAGCAGATCTGACCGCTGCCGTGGTCAGTTGCTTCGCAGCCGCTGGGGACTGAGGGCCGTGAGTGAATTGACGTATGCACGTGGGAGGTAGTAGCGAGATACTGCGCCAGTGTGGCCAATCCTTCTCTGGTGAGGGAGCGCGTTACCAGCGGTGGTCACCACCCGCACTACAGGCCTCCTAAGCAGTTCCATCATCACGCGGTTTTTTTTCGTTTTTTTTAAGTCCGATAGGGAACTGTGAACCAACCTCATCGAGTCGTATACAGTGCACAAAGCAAAGCTATACATAACAAGCAAATGCGTTGAGGTTGTTGCTACCAAACAAGACGACCTCGCCACGTACAAACAACAGATCCTAACTAATTCCCTTGGGTTTTAAGAAACATTCATAGATGTCAGCGCTTTGAGATCTTCACTGTTTCTTAGCCTAATGTAGGTTTTTCTATAGTTCACAAAATGTTGTCAACCAGGTGTGCCATGTTCATGGCCTTCTGCTAATAATTAAATTGGTGAATAATTACGTGAACATGACAAGTGTGTTTTAATGAGTAGGTAGAAATTTTAGTGGCGTGAAGCCAAAGATAGAAAATCAGATGCATGTACAGGTTCTGATTTTAAGTATTTTGCCATGTCCATGAAAGAACCATTTGAAAGAACTGAATGTACACTTCCTAGATAACGTGTTAATATCATTCAATCATGCGTTTTGAAAATATTAAAAAAAGCGTAACAATCAGTTTAAAATTATCTGCGGTAAATATAACTGATGTGTCAGTGTTTGGCTGTGAACTTTATTTAAAATATGACTGGTCTGTCTCAGATTCAACTTTGCCTGATATTCTGCCGTATTTAGCTCTCCCAACGTAGGTAATAAATCTATAATATAAGGCCTATAAAAATAAAATTGATTCTCAAGGTTGTCTGCGTCTCTTACAGTCTTAGCAGAAAGTAATTTATGTATATATATTGTTTAAGGGAAAAGAAAAATAGCATGCATAGTTAGACACAATACATTTTCCGCGCTTACTTTAATTATAAATGAAAATTGCCGTGCTTTTGAAAATCTATTTTTGGACCTAAGTAGGAAGTTGTCTTACTATCCTGGAGGCAATAAAGCGTTGATTACTTTGCATTTTACGAGAGTAAGCCGCCTATCTACGTAATGGCGTGTACGCTCGGCAAATTTAGTGTGTTTGGTTTTATTTCCCCACTTGAGCACATTAGTTCGTTCAGCAATCTAGACTAACAAAGGTATCGAATTGTTTTACTGAAACCCTGACTGACAGAAATAGCACACTGAAAAAAGAAGAGAACTCCTGCTCATCTTGTGGCTCTCATACTTGTACTTGTAAGCCACGTACTAAATTTATTCTGAAAGCTGATCAATTGAACTTGCATAATGTTTATATATTTATGTAAACGAACCTACAGGCCCTAACAGGGGCATTGAGTAAAGGGGCCAGTACACTAAAAATATATTTACATATTGATGTCTAACTGGATAAAATACAAATCAAAATGAGGTATTAAATATAACAAGGTAAATATAAAGCGTTACAGTTACCCTCTCATGTGTTGACTCGTAGTTTACGCTTCCACTATCTTTGAAGCGTCAAAAAAAAAAAAAAGCTGTAGCTGAAGAAAAATGGAGGCTTGTATCATCAGATATCACTGAACACGAAATGGCCATACAGACAACGTTTCAACCAGTAGACTTGTGAATGTCAAGGCATCACAGGCTCCGCTACCGAAGCGTTTTTTTTATTGCTGATATATCATAGGTCGATGGAAAAGGGTCTGTAGCTTGCAAAGAGGGAGCAGCGTTAAATGATAATCGTGTTTGAATGTTTTGGGTGCAATACGTGTAACCTCAGCTTTCCTGTACTTGGCTACCTTTTTTCAATGATTAGATAAGACTTCTGCTACCCAGTCGTGCACGTTTTGGCGATATTTGATGATGATGATGATATGTACGCTATAACGTCCCAAAACCAGCATATGACTATGAGAGGCGTGGCAGTGTAGGGCTGTGGTACTTTGGACCATCTGGCATTCTTTAGTTTCCACCTGAATGTGAGCTCATGGGCCTACAGTATTTCGCCTCTATCGAAAATGCAGCCGCCGCAGCTGGACTTCGATCCCGCGACCTGCGGGCCAGCAGCCGAGTACCTTAGCCACTAGACCGCTGCAGCGGAGGATATGATGTTTGAAGTCCTCAATAGGGTAAATAACGTGCCCACAAGCCTCGCATATGTGGCTTGCTTCAGTTTTAATTGGTAAACTTATCGCTTTCACTATTCTGAAGCCTCTATCAAATTGGAATCGAACATAAAAATTACGCGTCATGTTATTTCACCTAATGCTAGCTGTGCTCCTTGTGCTTTTTTATGTTTTTAAACTCATCTGCAGTGTAAAAAAATGTCATTAAATACACTTCCTGTATTGTCATTGTTTAATGTGGCCTTCTGAAGAAATGCTGCGCTCGGTAAAAAAAGGCGCATCTGATTGTGAATTGATCTCAAAGGTGAGATCCGCTCTTCTCAGGAAACCTCTGTTTTTTTTTTAAAACAGTGCTTCCATAATATTGATAGTTGAAGATCTCGCGTGAAATGCAAATATTTCACAAAAGAAATTCATCTTTGTTTGCTGCATGCTTCAGTCAATAACAAATAACCTATGCAAACAATAACGTTGCTGAGATACTTTTCTAGCAACTATTTATGGACCTCCGAATCTTTGAACTATGGCCGAAACACCCACAAAACATCATTTGTTGTTTTATCATTATAATAAAAATATCAGCTTACGACTACTTCCGGATCCGGAATGCTGACCCCCGCAAAGAAGTCGTTAGTCTTGAAGATCTGCAAATGCCTGGGTATAAGCTCGCCTGCGAAAAATAAAGAAAAGGTATGGAATACACACACACGCACAGATATATATATATATATCAATGTATCAATTCAGTCACTTTCGTCTCATTCATCCTTGGGAGCAACTTCGGTGTGCAATGACATGTACACGTGGGGTCACAAGTTCCTAGTCCACTATTTATTGCATTTCTATGCAAGCATGGACTGGCAACGTCTGACTAGGACTCTTATATAGTCGAGGACTCTTATATAGGACTCTTATATAATCTTATAAGCAGCGTCATAGTAGTGATGAGCTTTGTGAGTCAGCACAGTAATTTCACTACTTACCATTGCAACTAATACCGCGTAACGAAACGCCTGAAATGTTAGCTTCAACTGCTAGCACCACTTATGCATATCATGTAAGCAAAAGAGGACAATGTGGGAAGCGGCTGGCTGGCCTGTCTACTGAGCGGCTATGACGTAATATGTATTTTCACCATTTTAGTGCTAAATACATGTATATTACTTGTACAGAAATATAAACACGGACCGCCTCTCCGAGACCTGCTATTATTCCGAAGTAATAGATAAAACAACTGAGCATGTACCAAGCTTTAGTCATCCTCACTGAACCCAGTGCAGTGCCAAATTCTCTTCCATGTTCCGCCAATCAACCCGGTTTCGTGCTTGCTGTTGCGTTACACCCGTAAACTTCTCAATTTGATCTGTCCACCTAATTTTCTACCTTCTCCCTCGTGCATTTAATTTCGCTAGGGAATCCAGTGACTTATTACTAGACGACCAGCGGTTATCTCAAGCACCACTTGCTTTGCCCATGTGCATTTTTTCTTTGTTGATTACAACTATGATGTACTTAACACCCGTTTGTTACCTGACCCACTCTGTCTCTTAAGGTTACACTTATCATCACTCGCTGCGTCGACGCAAACTTGAGTTGAACCCTCTTCGTAAGCCTCCAGGTTTCCGATGGGTACGTAAGTACGGACAAGATGCAGTTGTGGTATAATTTTTTCTTGAACGACAATGGTAAATTACGTACCATTCAAGATTTCCGAATGATTGCTCAATGTGGTCCGTCCTATTCATAGTTTTCTAGTTACTTCAATTTTATAGTTCGCCTCCGCGATCAATACCTGCCCTAAGAATCGTAATGTTTTACTACTTCTAGCACTGCTAGCGCGAAATCCTACTCTCCTCTAGGACTGTTGCACATTACTTTAGTGCATAATAATTTTCAGCCAGACCACTTTGATTTCGTTGTCATAATCAGTAATCATGAGTGGCTATCCGTTTCCTCAGTTGCTCACCAATGCAATGTCACTTAGTAACTTGCGATTTGTAAATCGCAAGGTACTAAGGTACTCTCCAATCACTCCATTACCATTTGAGTAACAAAGCGGCATCTATTGGATGAACTGGAATGACAACTGAATAAATGCGCACTATCGTGATTGAAATTATTAGTCAAACGTTGATTTTTAACATGCGCGAAGCAATACTTTTTTTTTTGGTGTAAAGTGCCAAACCCACCATCTACTTGTCTGCTGGACTTAGTTCAGAGTTGTGGATCAAACTTGACCATTTAGGAGAGTCTAAGTTCTCGTTAGTTTCGCAGACATTGTGGAAACGAAATTTGCTGATTAGCAGGCTTGATACTGGTCGCATCGAAGGGATTTGTGCAGAAGCCGCAGGCCACTTCCATGTTATTGAGGGACAAAGCTGTTTGAAGTGTACAGACAAGGTGTCCTGATAGCCCGAAGGTGCATACGTTGAACCTACACCTAACTGCTCATGCCGAAGTGAACACCACGTTGACATAATATTAGTTATTTCCAATGAATAGATGTTTCCAGTGCCACAACCCTCTAATTAACCACATATCCCCAGTTTTCTAAGCGTATTTATTTAACCAGCAAGTTGTTTTATTTCATTTATTTCTTTATTATTGGAAACGCTCCTACTATACATATATATCGCAAAATAAGACCAAATAAATTCGCACGCACTTATAGAACTACATTTCATTGTGTAACGGGCTAGTTTCTTTCGCGCTCATGAAAGGCGCTACTGCAAACACAATATTGCTTTCGTATTCACTCTCGCTTAGCTGAACATCCACTTAGCATAGGGGAATCTGTTAACAACAACAACAACAAAAGAATACCTGAATAAGAGTGATTCGCCACGTTCCACCGAAGTTGCTTTCAATTGCACAATTTTGAGTTTCTGGACATCTTACTCACGTTTGCGGTGTTTGCACGTCCATGCCGCATAGAGGAACACGCCATCTGACTTTTATAACTCTATCTTCTATTCATCGCATGTATTCTACACTGTGTTCTCTCACCGGCGTCACTCGAAGTGAACTGCGTCATACCATTAGTGCACAAATCGTCACTTCTCTTTAGCGGGCATGTTCAACAGCCGTCGTGTCGCTCTCACCCAGCGTCCTGCGGATGAGGTAGAGCTGGTCGACGTCCGACTTTCCGGGCCACAGGGCCTCGCCGCGCATCAGTTCGGCGGCTACGCAGCCCACGGCCCAGACGTCAACAGGCGGGCCGTACTGCGTGTCGCCAACCAGCAGCTCGGGCGCCCGATACCAACGGGTGGCGACGTAATCCGTGTAGTTCTCACCGGGACCTGTCGATGCCCAAATAATGGGCATCAACAACACATTTTTCTATATGGTGTTGCACATGGATCATAAGCGAGCGTGCCTCAGTGAATTATTGTAAATCACGGATGGAAGTACTCTACTGCAGTGTGGTTTCTAGAAGGCCGTTTCAGGGCATAGTGAGAGCAATTCTTATGTTCATAACAATCGAGAACATTTTATTATTTGCTGTTGCTAAATATTGTAACTGTTTTAATCTCACGCTGATTATGGGAAGAAATGCCTCACCTGATGTCAGTCGAAAGGAAATATTCAAGTTACAGTGAAAGTCGGAAATTTTGTAAACATACAGTCAAGAAGGGAGGTAATCAAGTAGCTTATTTGGACTCAAATGAACCAATCTGCATAACAAAGGTTGTTTTGTTTTCTCTATATACAAAGCTATGTTCCTACGTTGTTAGTGTAGAGCGGACATGTACGCTGGTGAAAACTTTAGACAAAACACAAAACAGGTGCATTTTGTCAACAAAAGAGAAGAATATGTGATTTTTACGAACATTCACTTTCAATTAAGGCATGCATTACACTGCATGAAAATAGAAACAACAGGAGACAACACAATGTTTCTAACCCCCAATAAGAGGCATCAACAACAGATTCCTCTTCTAGTTTCCAGAGCCGTCCTCCTGCGGCTAACCAGTGAAAAAATCGGCAGGCCCCACCTAGAGTCGGCCATAACTTTACCTATCGTGCAGGAGCTTCCAGTTTTTTCCGTGTATGTATCTTTTCTATTTGGCTAAATTAGCTTCCAAAAAAAAAACGGTGCGGTCATGTGCATGCCCAAAAGGCGAATGCGCACAAGACAATTTTTCAATATCGTTCCATCATATGAGGCTCACACACGAAAAAGTGGCAGCTGCTCTCGGGTAGCTAAAGTTTTGGCCAGCTGTGCCTTGGGAATCAACGTTATGCTAAGCATGCGCAGGGAAAGTGACCGTGTTCTATTCTTTTTATTGAGCTACACGTTATGAAGTGTACGTACATTATTGCAGGCGCAGTCATATTTCGAACAGTCGCAGTTGTTTATATAACCAGTTGTTTGCACTTGCGCAACAATGCCAACAGTAACATTTTGTATAAGATAAATAGAAGTGATAAGCTGATATGAAGTGCTGGTGCTCGCGAGGATGTCCTGGACACTGCTACGTTATTTATTTTCAGCAGATGGCTCTAAACCCCAATTCACGTTAACCTAGTGTGACGTCTGTATCATCGGAGACAGCACAGCAACCACATATAAATATTCAAGAATATATTTGAAAAGTTACGAGTCCTGACTTGGCTCTGTGGTAGAATACTTTATTGCCACGCAGAATGCTTGGGTTGGGTTTCTGCTGGCACTCTGACATTTATTATTTGCATTCGCCGGGCTAACGCTACCGATATCAGCCTTTTTTTTAACGCTCACGCGTTAACAATTTCTATGTGTGTTGTTACTCTTTCATCGGGTCGACTCTACCGATGTCGGGTATTTCTTAACGCGCGCGTTAAATAGTCCACGTGTGTTCTCGTCGTTCCTGGGTTGATGCTAAGTGTCAGTCACCTGTGGCACATACACGCATACCAGTGCCACATACTCGCCCTCGGGTGTGTGCCACTGTCTGGCGAAATGTATTTGATAACATACGCGACGGGATATTGATAATAATTATCCCTTGACATAGCGGATCTTGCTCGTCAAACCATCTTACCCTCTCAAGCTAATTTTGGCTCACGCGAAGTTCAGGGGTGGTCACAAGAGCATCCAGACGTAAGCGGCTAGCTAGATAAATGGACACACAATCAGACGCCAAACGTGCTTGGAGAAGGCAAACAAACGCATTTATAACATCGATGATGCTAATTGTGCATGGTTGTATGAGACTACGTAACGATTGTGAGGCAGATCATCGTGGGGAAAGAAAGATTATTCTGACAGCTTGGGGTTGCTTAACAACAACAAATGTAAGTGAACATGGGTTCTTGCATTTTGCCCCAAAGAAGTGTAAGAACATACCAAAAATGTTGATGTTTTAAACAGTACTTGCTGGATCTCTTTTTGTAGTGTGCCCCGCCGCGGTGGTCTAGTGGCTAAGGTACTCGGCTGCTGACCCGCACGTCGCGGGTTCGAATCCCGGCTGCGGCGGCTGCATTTCCGTTGGAGGCGGAAATGTTGTAGGCCAGTGTGCTCAGATTTGGATGCACGTTAAAGAACCCCAGGTGGTCTAAATTTCTGGAGCCCTCCACTACGGCGTCTCTCATAATCATATAGTGGTTTTGGGACGTTAAACACCACATATCTCTTTTTGTAGTGTATGTCTTTATATGAATGTAGGGAGCAATTTACGATTCCTTAGTACTTTTTGACAGTAAAGCCTTTATCTTGTATCTTTAACAGTAGTTTGTAACGTTCATGTTTTTTCCCATTATACTTAGTTACTTTTGCTGGTAATCTGTATTGCTGTTTGCTATTTTCGTTTCTTCGTTAAAACATTGTGGACAATGATATCTTTTGATACCAATATGTTTTGTATTGCCACTGCTGCTGTATGGGAGACCAAAGCTTAGTCAAGCTGCACATGTGCAGCTGTTTTCTGTGTGTTTATGGGGATTTGGGCCATTTGAAAATAAAAATTCGGTTGTGGATTGTACTGTATTGGATGGTTGAGGAAACAAGAACGTGTTTGTGAAACATCAACATGAACTTCGCATATCGGCTGATCCGCTGCGCTTTTTTTCAGCCGCGCAGTTTATCATGATTCACGTCCCAACGCGTTTTGAGAGACGCCGAAGTGGTGGACTTCGTTTAATATCGACCATATGAAGTTCTTACATGCAGCGACGTCGCAGAGTACACGAACTCCTTGACACTTACTCTATCGAAATGCAATCAGCGCAAGCGAGATAAGAGCAGCGTACTTTTGGTCAGCACCTGAGCGCCGTAACCACAGAGGCATAGCGGTGGCATTCTTCTCTGTTTAACTTGTTTATCAGGGCATGCATTTTAAGTGAAGGCTGGAAACTAGACCCCACAGTAGCGTCTACGCTTTGCTTTACGTCGCACTAATTATCAAGACAGCTCTGGCGTAAGATATTATCTTAGGAGAAATGTAACCACCTTTCCTCTGCGCACGAAACCTGTCCTATTGTAACTGATTACTCACTTAGCGTCCTAGCAAAGCCAAAGTCGCAAAGTTTGACGATTCCATCCTTGGTGAGCAAGATGTTTTCAGGCTTTACATCCCTGTGAATGCACTGTGGAAGAAACATGGACATTGTCAGAAAAATTCTCGAAGCCTGCCATCCATGACACTCATGTATGACAAAACCGTCGCTTGACTCATGTCATTATTGCCTAATAATTGTACCTTGTTAACAGACATTAACGTAATTTTAAGCAGTACAAATAAACAGAGCACTACTTCCAACAAACAACACGTTGTTGCTCAAAACTAGAAGCGGGTTCTAATTCATTGTACACATACATTGCTCTGATCCTCTGTATCTCGTCCAACGAGAGAGCATGGGGGTGCCGATGGCTGAGATGCACTGTCGAGGGTGGGAGTCCCACATCTCCTATCCTCGGTAAAGAATGGATCGACAGGAAGGATGTCGCGAGTGTGGAGAAAGGGTCGAAAAAGGCTTTTCAACTTAGCACACCATTCGGACCAAGATTGTTGTTTTAAGCCTTCGTAGCCGTGCTATGCTTCGACAGCCCCGCGGAGGCGGTCGATGGCGATTACCCATTTTCGATCGTCTGACCACGCGTGGAGAGTGCCGAGTTAGATTACGGTGTTTATCTACACAAAGCCATCGTCCACAAAGGCGCAAAACAATGGTAGTTTGCAGGAAGGCGTGATGGCGGGCAGGCGGGCGAAAATCCGCCGTATTCTCGCACTAGGCAACTCATTTCCTGTGAAAACTCCGTGAGGGATCGCCGGAGGTTGCGATGGTTTTCGGGTGCGCCTGCCTCAAAGTTTACTGAGGCGGCCGTAGCCATCATAGAATTGGGTGCGAGCAATGTTGGTGGCGCGACCCTACGAAAGCGTGGGTAGTGAAGGGGAGATGCGCGATGGTATGCTGCAGCTCCGCGGCGCTCTCGTGTGGTCCGCCTTGATCAGGCAGCGTTGGCATCTGCAGAAGAAACAGAGTCTTCGGAACTCACGCTGCCAGAATCAATAGCCAAGGACGCGTGGCAGGTTGGGAGGCTGATTGAAAGCTAGAACTCGACGGGGCCCACAGACGTGGGCGCGTGAGCCGCGTTCCCATACTATGCCTTTGAGTTAACCGGGATCGCGGTGCCGACAAAAAAAATCGAGCCACCGAGGAAGCCTGGATGATTGTGTGTCGTCGAGGAGGCATAGACGTCGCCCCCGAGCTTGTGCATGGTGCGTTGGCAGAAAGGCGTGTGCCATGGCCGAGAAAGCGTGGACAGCTTCGCTTGACTGGCGGGTCCGATGATGATGATGATGATGATGATGATCCTTGATACTCTGGCGCACACCCACAAAGGGGGATCGGCCAAGAACCGGGCGGCAGGCCGGAACGCTTAGGACGCGCAAGCACAGGCCACTCTTCGTTTTCTACGTATTACCAGGTAACCGGGAGAAAATATTGGCATCTTGCGGCATTTCGTGAAACCAAAATTACATATACGTATGCTGATTTTTCTGTAATGCTTTTCAATAGGGAAATATTAAAAAGGCAACTCGTTCGAAATTATGCCCCTGCCTAGGATTTTCACAACCAGAGGAACGAAATACACTAAATTTCTGCAATGAGAATTCTGCCCTACTTGGTTCATATTTGCACCGCCAGATGTCCCGCCTATCCCACATCTCCTGTTTAGTGTTATGGTACCCGCTATACACTAACCGCTAATGTATAGGTAGACGCTACTATAAAGCTTTCGCAGAAAAACATCAACTCATTCCGAAGAAGTATCCGGTAAGCATGCGTCCTTTTATAGCATGCACAACAGTCGCTATACCGTGCAACATAGTATTCGGATATGCAACAGTGAAATTCTTCATCGTTCAATGCGGGCAATACCGCCTCATCAGGGATAAACTCCAATGCAGCATGCACTACCGTGTTTTTTTCACTGATAAGAGTAGGAGCCATATGAATTCTTCCTTGCCGCAAGTAAATTATAACGGCGCTTTACTATCATATTTCCGGCATGTTGGACAGCTAGCTGTTCGTGTGCCCTTTTAATAATGACGTGGGTGTTTAAATTGCTTTGGGGGCGATATTCTTCATTCGGAAATTTTGGCGAGCGTTATGTGAGCTCTCGCTTGCGTTTTGTAAAACGCGGCAAAAGAGTACTTAAAAGAGTGACAGAAAGGTAGACTGCAGCACCTACGTTATGCGAGTGGCAGAAGTTGATGGCTTGTAGCGTCTGGAATATCATCCTCTTCGTAAGTGCGTCTGGGACGCTGCCAAAAAAAAAGCATTTATTAGGAAGTGTCGTTGAGAGCCGAAAAAAAAAGGTCGTGACAAACAACAGGAAAACTTAAAAAGTTCGTTTTTGCAAAACGGCCTTCTCCGGAGTCCCGGTCGAACGATAAAACTTCCAGTCCCCGGCACCTAGCGTAAGTGATAAATATTGTCGCCGTAAGTTAGTTAAGGAAGACTAACTTGACGCCAAACAGAAGTTTTTTCCCTTATTAGAGGAGTAAATAGAAGCATATCAAGTGCTTAATACGTCATAAATCATCATTGCACCATCAGCGACAGGACATCAGGGTGTGTCTACACACATGTCCCTGACCGAAGCTTAAGTACGCTTTCTTGGGAACTTGTAACACGTCATTACTTACAAATGAAATTGTCAAAAGCCAGAAACAAAGAAAGTGCATACACTAGCGGTTGCAAATAAATGAAGGATTATGAAGAGTATGACATAATACACAGCAACAAAACCAAGACAGCATATGATCTCACTGAAGCATTAGCAGAACGGCATAACGCAAACATTCATGGAGAAGGTGACTGCGACGTTGGCTTTCAGTGGCGTCTAACAAAGCAGAAGGAGTGAAAGTTCGCTAAAATAAATGTATAGCTGCGGATTTCTGGCTCTTTATTATACAGTATGACCAGTTTGCACCGATGGAAAGTCTGCAGTTTTTTCAACTCTATATCCTGTTCGTTTTGAATACAGTTTCTGCCCTATGTAGTGGTTCGTGTTACTACCCTCAGTCACTTTTGCTCCCCGCTTCGAGTTTAGTTTTACTTAACTTATGAACGCACCTGACAATTTATCTTTGTGTGTAAAAGTGTGTCGTATATTTGAGAAGGTAGGAAATGATCACTTTTCACTTTGTGTTTTTATGCGTGGCCAACAGACTTCATAGGCCTCAATGAAAGTGGAGCCAGCTATAGTGCGCTGTTTAGCCAACGCCGCTCCAGTTTTAGCCTACCAAATATTTCACGTACGTGCAGCTGGTTAAGTAACTCCTGTTTCGCTTCTGTGGTAGCGGCTATTGCAAGTATGTTATGACCAGGCACCCTGCCGACTATGAAAGGCTTCTTCCTTTTAGCGAATTAATGAAATGAAAAATTACCAAAAATTACCATCGCGGTAACGATACCTTACTACACATTTAATCACTTTCCATTGTAATCAATATAGCAGCATAAGCAATCGATTGTTATCAATTTGGCGCTAGCTCGTTTTCGTTTTCAGTCATTATAAAGCCAAGCAATCAGCATAGTGCTCTGAATTTCGCCGCTACAACTGTGAAGCACCGGTAACTGACTTTGACTAAAGTGCACTAGTGCAGACAAGAGAGGTATCTCTCGCAGGACGAGATCCTTGGCCAAACATTATTACCCCGTGTTTTGAGAATGCAGTGAAATATTGAGCGCATTTCATGCCTTATAAAAATTCATGTTATGCGAAGCATGCAGAGAGAAGGTGACTGGTGTAACTTTTCCTTTCGTGAAACATAATGAAATGACGCTAAAGATATTTGAAAATGTGGAGAAAGACAAATGTTGAACAAACACAACCGTTTTATATAACAACTTGTTTAGTGATGGGGCAACAATGTCGAGAGCAGAACAAGTATTACCGACACAACAAGCGGTCGGATGAGAGGTAACGCGTGCACTTCCGAGGATGGTAGCGCTGGCTAGTGATATGTATAGGCCAGCTTCAGGGGATCGTGTTTTAGTGTACAAATACTGTTAACTCAACGACGGCTGAATTACAGTAGTAGCAATTTATTTTTCATAAAACTACATAGTCAGTCCTGCAACCAAACTTGGCGTTTCATGAACGTTACGCCCGCATAGAGTGTTTTTCGAAAGCTGTTCCAAGAGTATGCATGTTTCTGTAAAAAAAAAATAGACTGCCACGAAGAACGCTTGGTTCGATGCCTGCTAGGGCCTCAATATTTATTCTTTCCATTCGTCGGGTCGACACTGCCGATATCATATTTTTCTGAACGCTCACACGTTAAAATCATCCATGTCTGATGTCACAGTTCCTGGAGACATTTAAAGTGTCAATCACCCGTAGCACATACCAGCATACCAAGGCCGGTGGTTTACGAGTGTGTGCCACACATATGTGAAGGAAATAGTTTCATGACTTAGGTGAGAAGATTTTCACGGTGTTCATGTCATGACCGGCGACACATATTCGTCGAAACCTTTACCTGCTATACATTTTTATGTGTATACACTAAATCAATTTTGACCCACAAAGGTGTGAAAATAGTGTGACACCACACAGCACACCCTTGGAGCACCCTATTTTTGTTACAGCCCCCATGAGCAACACGCAAAAGGTTCATACATCAAAAGGACTTAAACTATGGTGAAAGAAGGGTGCTAAAGCGCGCTGAAGCGCACTGGTGAGGGCGTACAGTCACCGACAAACTATGTGAGCAACTGGTCAACGAACAGAGCCAACAGCTTTTGGGGATCGCCTGGTTGGCCATCACAGTCACATTTGCGAATATATGAGTGGTGCCAGGCTAAACCCAGCTTCTGTATTGGTTCTGGCACTCGTGTGGTCTCTGACTTTTCGGCTCACGGCTGCAGCACGGACAAGGCATTGCGCTACAAGCCAATTGGCTATTTGGCTGAATGCGTAGCTTTTGAAGTTATAACAGAATTTAGGATTTCACTTATGCAGCTATCGGCCTCGTCTAGGCCTCACACGGCCGACAAAATTTTGTGCATGACTGTACTTGTAAACCATAGATACTTTAATGCACGAAAAAAATGTGTTTAGCAAGCGCTCATTGCTGTTAGTAAGAAACAACATAACTAGAGGACCGCACGCAAATTATTTAGGTCGCAGGCTCAATTCCTACCAGCGCAAATTAGCTTTTTTGTCGACTTTGTTTTTTTTTGGAATTGCCGTTGTAATTACTAACATGCCGTTGAATCTCTAGAAATAGTGCCTCCAACACATTGCTGTGATTCATTGCTTCCTGAATACTCATGTACACTTATTGCAGCCATAAATAGAGGTGATAGACGCCGATGTAGACTTCAGTTCTCAGACAAATGTTTGCAACTATTCAAAAAATCTAAATATATTGACTCATTCGTCAGTGCATGCAATCTCATACCGATGTTATAATAGTGAGTCACAAAATAAATTCTCATGTGCAAGCTATGAACAAAGCTAATACGAGGTGCACACTAATAAGGTTAGGGAGGTTCATTGTGGTTTATTATTTTTAGCCTATCGTAATATCTCCTAGAGCAAAGTCCTCTCCCAATGATCTCGAACTTGGAACATACTGTGCGAGCTTCTTTTATTTTATACGTACAACTTTTCAGATTCTGCCTCGGTAGCTGGCCCTCTGGCACTTACAGCTACATTTCCCGTTATTCGATAACCATTCAATCGCTCTAAAAGACCAACACTCATCTGTCCGTCGCATTACATAGCGTGCTCTGGTTCACTGTTTCCTGCGCAGTGCCAATTATCCATACTTGTTCTCCAATCTGTGCTGCTATCTCCCTTTGTGTAGGTGTCGGGAAGTGAGTGAGTGAACAACTTTATTCACTTCCTGCAGGTTACCGGGCTGGGTTCCCACCTAGGAGCTGGTTGAGAGACCATGTCTCTCAGCAGCTTCTTTGGCCTGCTGGATAGCCCAGAGTTGATTCACCAAAATATTATCACGGTGCCTTTGAACAATTCGAACATATTTTAAATTATGCTATACCTTAATAAACATGGGCCGGGTACGTAGCGCGTAGGCGGGATAACCACTGGTCAAAGGGTAGCTTACTGGATTCCCAGAGAAGGCAAGCGGGTTAGGGGGGAGACAGAAAGTTAGGTGGGCAGATGAGATTAAGAAGTGTGCGGCTGCAAAGTGGCAGCAGCAAGGGCAGGACCGAGTTGACTGGCGGAATATGGGAGAGGCCTTTGTCCTGCAGTGTGCGTGGTCAGGCTGATGGTGATACCTTAAAAGGCCACGTCCAGTTTTCGCAGTTTCGTATGAACACACTGTGAGATAGGCCAATTTTCGAGTGGTGGTGGGGGCAGCGACCCAGAGGTACTATCAGCAGCTTCTATGTCGCTGCTGTAAGTTGTCAGTAGTGCACGTAAACAATGATGAGTAACCATCGCTAAGCCATTCCGACACCTTTTTCGGCAGCATTAAAGACGGGAGAGTTCGTAGACACAGTGAATCATGTTGACTCTTCATGATATTTGTATTATGCTGGAGTTGTCTAGTAGATGCCACATCTCACTCTAAAATGAGTTATACATGTTTCTTGCCTCCATTGTGTGTTGAGTATATATGCTGCATGCCATGTAATTCAAAAAATATCTTTCATTGTATACCTAAAGATAGTGTCAGTACTCCTTCAAAGATATATGGAACATTTTATTCATAGTTTTGCATGACCAAGTCCTTTCACATGTCCAATACCATGAATAGCACGTGCTATGACATTGCTACCGTTGTGTTCAGGAATGTACAATGGGTTTAATTCAAACTGCGAAAATGAAGTTTGAACACTGTACTTCTTTATGGGTCTAAATCATACATATGAAAGTGCTCATCGAAAGACACCGTCCCAAGCTGTTTTGTCTTAAGCAGCAGCCTTCTGTTCACCTAAAATGTTTGAGACACAAGGCGGAATTCTGGCCGTCCATCATTTGGAACACTTTGGACTAGACAGCAGCCTCACTGTATGTCCTGCCACGAACTATGACAGATTTCACAACCACTAAGGTTTTGAAAATACGGTTATTCTCAGAAATGAAAGCTGTAATACAGCAACGTAGGTACTCATACAGTACGCACCACACACCTGTATTACAAGGAGTTGATTTATCATCCTCTATGATGAACAAAAAGCACTGCGAAAACTGATGCTTCATTGCAAGACAACGAGAATGAATTTTCCAGTTGCGTATATTTCCAGCAATGTCGTTAAAATTGTGGTGCTTTGACTCGAA